TGTAATGTCTCCAAAACACTTCTTAAGTAGTCTTAGTCATCTCCCGATGATGGTAACATGGACATCGAAACGCGAGTAAAGATATAGTATTTTCATTCTTGATAGAGAAAAGTGGTTGATACCAGTTCAGTAGAGAAACTGTACGTAGATCCTGGACTAATCAAGCCTCTAACGTCAATAAAACTACTATAGTTCACTAATTCAAGCAAACTTTATCATTAATGAATTTAAAGAAAATACAAACACCGATGGTAATCATTCATGCAAAAAAAAAGTGATGCATCATTGGAAATTTAAATTTCCAATGATGCATCACTTAGAAAACAATACACTTGAAAACAAATACACTCTGAGTGGAAAGCACGAGAGAGAGAGAGACAGAAACATCTACAGCCACTTTCAGTCTGAAAGTCGCAAAGTCGTGAAAGAGAACTAATTTTCAGGTAGCAAAGTTAGGTTAGGTTAGGTTAGGTTAGGTTAGGTTAGGTTAGGCGACATTTAGAGAGTGACTACAATAAAATTGAAAACAGATACACTAGCTGCAGCAGAATAATGGTACCAGACAGAGACCCATCCACAGCTACTTTCAGGGAACGTTCTTAAAGTCGGGCCGGAAAGTCATGAAAAAGAACAAATTTTTGGCAGCAAAGTTAGGTTAGGAAGCCCTCATACCAAACAGGGTCAAACATGTTAGCATCAATCTCAACACTTAGAGAGTCCTGCCAAAAAATTGAAGCAGCAGCAAAAGGTACCAGACAGAGAGTTATCTATAGCTACTTTCAGGAAACGTTCTTGAAGTGATGAAAGAAAAATAAGTTTTGGGCAGCAAAGTTAGGTTAGGAAGCCCTCATACGAAACAGGGTCAAACGTGTTAGATAAGCATCAGTCTCTACAATTGGAGAGTGACTGCAGCAAAATTGAAAACAGATATACTTAGCTGCAGCAGCATAATGGTACCAGAAAGATAACTATCCACAGCTACTTTCAGGGAACGTTTTCAAAGCCGGGCCGGAAAGTCATGAAAGAGAACTAATTTTTGGGCAGCAAAGTTAGGTTAGGTTAGGTCTCTACACTTAGAGAGTGACTGCAATAAAATTGAAAATAATACTTAGGTGCAGCAGCATAAGGTACCAGACAGAGAGTTATCTATAGCTACTTTCAGGAAACGTTTTTAAGGCCGGAAAGTCATGAAAGAAAACAAAGTTTTGGGCAGTAAAGTTAGGTTAGGAAGCCCTCATACCAAACAAGTTCAAACGTGTTAGATAAGCATCAGTCTCTACAATTGGAGAGTGACTGCAGCAAAATTGTAAACAGATACACTTAGCTGCAGCAGCATAATGGTACCAGACAGATACCTATCCACAGCTACTTTCAGGGAACGTTTCCAAAGCCGGACAGGAAAGTCATGAAATAGAAATAATTTTTGGGCAGCAAAGTTACGTTATGAAGTCTCTACACTTAGAGAGTGACTGCAATACAATTGAAAATAATACTTAGGTGCAGCAGCATAAGGTAACAGACAGAGAGCTATCTATAGTTACATTCAGGGAACGTTCTTGAAGCCGGACCGGAAAGTCATGAAAGAGAACTAATTTTTGAGCAGCAAGGTTATGTTAGAAAGCCCTCATACCAAACAGGGTCAAACGGGTTAGATTAGATCAGTCTCTACAATTTGAGAGTGACTGCAGCAACTTTGAAAATAGATACACTTAGCTGCAGCAGCATAATGGTACCAGACAGAGAACTATCTATCCACAACTACTTCCAGGTAACGTTTTTAAAGCCGGGCCGGAAAGTCGTGAAAGAGAACTAAGTTTTGGGTATCCAAGTTAGGTTAGGAAGCCCTCATACCAAACAGGGTCAAACGTGTTAGATAAGCATCAGTCACTACCATTAGAGAGTGACTGCAGCAAAATTGAAAACAGGTACACTTAGCTGCAGCAGCATGATGGTATCAGAGAGAGAACCATCCACAGCTACATTTAGGTAACCTTATTAAAGCCGGGCCGGAAAGTCGTGAAAGAGAACTGAGTTTTGGGCAGCAAAGTTAGTTCAGGAGGCCCTCATACCAAACAGGGTCAATTGTGTTAGATCAGCATCAGTCTCTACACTTGGAGAGTGACTGCAAAAAAATTGAAACCAATACTTAGGTGCAGCAGCATAAGCTACCAGACAGTGAGCTACCTACAGCTACATTCAAGGAACGTTCTTAAAGCCGGAAAGTCATCATACAGAACTAACTTCCATGCAGTAAAGTTTGGTAATGAAGCCCCCGTTTCAAAAAGAGTCAAACATGTTAGATGCACACCAGCCCCAGACTCTCCACGTTTTTCAATTTCATCATTCTAAAAATGACGCATGATAGAAGGTCACGTGTTGATCTCTTCTCAATGAACCAATATTCATCTTCCTATATTTGATTATAAACTGCCAAAATACATGATTCACTAACTCACCGATAGAGAACAATAACCAAGTGTTGAATTTTCTAACTCAAATTATATTCATAGCATACAGAGTCAATTCAACTACGATCTCTAGCATATTATCTAAGACTATGTCACTGTCAAGTTTTTTGATAAAGTCAAGACTATCGGAAGTTCTATATTTCCTGGCTGGTGTTTTTGGAAAAAAATCTTCAACAGGTGGAAAGCACTTGAGAAGAACTTCAGGAAATCCCTTTTTCTCAAACACAATCATCGCCGACCTCAAAAAATCCCTCGATCCATCATTTAACCCCTTCATAGACATCGTTAACCTTTCTGGATCGGATCCCATCGGCAAGACGTGCGCCTCGTTTTTTCTCTTTAATTTACAACTTCCGGCGACGACGTTTAATTGCCCATTAAAAAGACTCGAATTCAGTGGTTCATTCACTGCCAGTCACACCAGAGATACATAATTAAGATTATACGCACACATCGGACGTATGGGCTTTTTAGCCTCGGTGACCTCGAAAAACAATGGCTGGTGAACTGTCGTCCAGCATGGTCAACGTCGATATGTCACCGAGTCGGAAATTATATTTGAACCGTTTTGGAAATGCTGGCTGGTCGGATGCAGATACTTTGAATACAATGCTAGATGTAAAAGCGAGTGTACCAAATCACATCCAAACGCGGTGTAAAGCATACCAGGAATGAACATGTAAATCGTTTATTTATTGTTCAAAAACATCTAGTAAAAAGGGTAAGGAAATATCCCCCTAAGAAACGCAATCCATGGCATCGATGATAAACGAGACATCCCACATTTAGCGTCTTTGTTGTCATAGCATTTCCTTACTCAAGCTTGCCCTTTAGTCTAATCAACAAGTTCAAAAACATGAAAAATAGAGATAAAAGGTCCTAAAAATATGAGCGATAGCTCATTCGATTCGGAATCACCTCTAGAAAAATGTTTTTGAAGGATTTTGGTGCAGGTAAAAAACTGCAACTGTTATTAACAAAATGAGATACACCATTTTTCGAAAAGTTATCCAATTGTTAACTAACAAATTTTTTCACAATCTCCGTTGGCATAAATAATGGGATAAAAGGTATAAATAATTGGCCTATAAATTTTAAACTTCGTGGAGCCCTTTTGATATATATATACTTCATACGATCCTGCGATAAAAGTTCATAAAAATTTATTAATTTGTTAATTATGATTTTTTATAACTATTGCAATTGTTGATAATTTTTTTTTCAATGGATACGGCCAAAGTCATAAGCCGTGAAGAATGGAAGACCATTAGTCATCCCGAATACATTTTTGGAAAAAACACCTGATATACAGCTGTCTTAGTTTCGATTCAAATAACCCGAATGATATTTGAAGATGGAGATACCAACTTTTCATTCATTTATTTCTTCTGCTTTCATATGAATGGACATATGTTCAAATTGATTTTTATTATTGTGGAAATATAAAGTATATAAGTTGACTCGAGGTTCTTGTCAAAAAATTTATATCGGACAAACCGGAAGAACATTTTCCAAGAGAATAAAAGAACATAGAGCAATTCAACATTCGCAAATCATCTTTTGACAAACATATATTCAAAAAACACACATTGAACTGTGTTTTTTGAATATATTATAAATTGGCTTTGATGTGGATCTAATATCCTAATTTCTTTATAGAAAATATCTGAAGAAAACCTATATCATTTTTCACCATCAATCAATATCAATACAAAGTTTAGGAAAAGTGTCTCTAATATGACTGAAGACGGTTTTTAGTTAGTTCTCGTTTGACCAGGTGGTCATTTACTGAAAAAATAAAAGAACATATAGGAGTAGTTTTCTGAGTGAGAAGAAAAAATCTATATTTGCTAACCACCTTTTGGCGGAGGGGCATATTTCAATCAAGACTATGACGTAGGTATCACATTTGACAAATGAAGGTTTCAAACTCAATCGTTTGAAAAGATCAGAAATTAATGACTTCAGAATTGGGGCCATTTGCTCACAAATTGTTCACAAATGATTGCATTGGTAATCAAAGATTTTGAGTACGATTATAACAGAATGGATCAAATTATTAAATATTAAGGAGTTGGTGATAGTCACTATATTTGAAATCATTGACATAGAAGACTATTTAGAATTTAGTTTGGTATTAAATACACCTGAAGAAGCTATTGTGTAGCGAAACACGTGTTGTGGATTTATAAAATGTTTGAAAGAAAATGTTTGCAACTTGTTCACTTTCATTTCAACGATAATTCGTTATAGTTTCAATTATTTTGGTTCATTACGTGGAAATTCGTGTAATTCAACAGTATAAACTCATTGAATATTAAAAGAAGTCAATAAAAATATTGCCACACAAGAAACTTGATTTGTTTTTGCCTCCCTATTTTAAAAAGATCATTTACACGAATAAGTACATAGAATATGTATTATTCAGATATGAATGTAAAATTACACAACGTTGACAAATCGATTATTATACAGTGTACTTACCCGGTCATTACGCAAATACCTTAAATTTAGTTTCAATAAAAAGGATACATTTCTTGAAAGAAGTCCAGATGTGGAGGTTGGAGTATATCTAAGGCGGAGAGAACCTGGAAAAAAAGGTTTTGTTACTCTCCAGTCGGTTGGTACCTTCGTGAAATAAAAGTTGACGCTTATATTTTCTCGAAACGTTGCAACTGTTTCAATTAGTCACATATTTCATCAGTGGCAACGTGTTTGGACTCGACCCAAATACATCTTTGATGGGTATGGTTCAGTTTTTGCGAAATCCATTTTGGAAAATATCAAAAATCTGCATGTCAGTAAAATCAAACAAATCCAATCTACTGAACCTCCTACACAAACAATAACGTTTACATAATGATTGTCCTGCTACGCTAAGAATCAACATCGTCAAAAACCTGACCGGAATCATACAAATCCTGTTATGGAATTCAAAAGCCGGTAGAATATAACCCTGGTTTCAATTTAAATTCCCCAATTGATGAAAAACTCGAAATCAATTGTTCCTGAATAGATTTTGGTTTTAATAACAGCGTGTACCTAATGAAACATCAATTGTTTTTTTGATGCAGTGAATACAAATTTGACACAAAATACTGCCTTCGATTTGGCCCGCTAAATCCTATATTCGCCAATAAAAAAGGTGAATGAAATGACAAAGTTTCGACTAATGTCTTTCACATTACAAAAATATCATATTTTCATGTACGAACAACGCCACCATTTTGTGTGAACTAGATTATATCAGCAGAATGTATTGTGTACCCGCAAGGTTCTGTTTTGGAGCCGTTCTTGTCAAAAATTCGTGTCGTTCGTTAACAACATTTCGTTTGTGATCATCGTTTTCACTGATAGCAAGAAACATTGAAAGTTACTTACATTTTCGTGTTTGAAAAAACACAACATTTTCAATTCCCTGAACACCCTTTTGGACGACACCACTGACTGAAACACGTTCGGTAACTTCTTCAGCGCTACCCTCCTGCCATCCCTAGGGTCCGTCACAGCCCTGCAACAACAAAAAAAGCGGGTATGAAATATTATCCTAGTCGGAGGACCTAATCCTGTTATAAAACACTACAGAAGATTGCATTATTTTTTTGGGACGGTTGCCAGAAAAATCTCTATTTCAGGGTTTCGTCGGGATGCTAAGGGTTCGGTTTGGGGATGATATACTCGGATTCAATAAATACACATCGATATGATCGGGAGGTAGAAGTTTTAAGTGGGTGTGTTTCTTGTTAAACCGCCTTCAAGAGCCTTTCTTGACGGTTGATAAAAAATGATAAGAGACCAGCTAGTCCAGCTAGTACAGGAATTTTTTTTGTATTTTGGTTTTCGACGTTCAAATGGAATTTCCTGGGGGTTAGAATATAATTGGTTTTGAAAGTGCGACTTTATAATGGACGGATGCAAAATTTTCGCCAAAAGGCGAAAATTTTGAGAGATATGGAAGTGGTTCAACTGAGATAATAAGTATCAGTCCTTCTGTTGAGGCAAGGTGCTGTATGAAAGATAAAAACCATTTTCAGAAACAATCTCTTAGACTAATTTTTCTGAATTGATAAAATTTCAGCTGAATTTAAGTCAGTTTTAAGGTCTTATTCGTTAAAATGGTGGCACATATTTCAGACTGTAATCTACTTTTATGTGTCGCAATGCGATCTTTAAGTAGTCTCAACGTTTGACAAATTTACGAATATTTACTATCACAATTATAGCAGACAATAAAATGAATTGATTTCGATTGTAAATTGATATAGGTTTTGTCTTCAAGTTTTGAAAACAAATTATTAATGGCTAACAGAGTCACATCGTTAATAAAAGGTGATGGAATTATTAACAAACAATTCGTACCAGATATATATATTTTTACTATGAAAGGAAGGTTCAAAAATATGCAGAATTCAATTTTTCATTTATTTGACCAAATTCATTTTCGTGGAGAGTTTGTGATACGACCAGAACTGACAGATTTTTGATACCAACCGATGCGTTCTGCTAAATTTCTTATCTAGAATGGAAGTTCCATGTTTCTCATTCTCAGTTTCGATAGTAAATCGTATGTAACTGTTGAAAATATTTACTATCTGTAAGGACGATATATCTTAGATTCAACAAGAATTACACAAAAAAAAAAGTAACGGCCCCAGTACAGATCCATGAGGAACGTCTATGTTGATAGTTGATTATATTATCACTTAATTGTAAACTCATTCTCACACTGAATCTAAGCTAACAATTATTCGATCATATCTACATTTTATCTCATACGAGATACAAGCCCCTACCACTCGTAATCCATTCGTAACATCATCTTCCACCGCTTCTTACCTTATCGAAGCCACAAGACAGATTACAATAACGTGAAATTGAAAGAAATTTATGTAAATGCCTATCTCAGATCGGCCATTATGCTCCTATCACAATAGGGCTTGTTAACGATATATTATCCGTGGATATTTATAGACCGTTCGTTTTGGTAGTTTTTTTTCTTGGATGGTTGCTTGCCGGAAGGCTGGAAGCAGATTCAAGTATACAAATGACAGAAAGAGGAAAGGAAATGTTTATGTTAGGTTATAGAATCGGAACTTATCAGCAGGAATGCCGGTTCGTTGGCACTGTATATGATAAATATATCAATTTTTAGATGGGATTCGAGTCTGAGATATTTCGAGGGATGTTGCCGTAGAAAGACTTCTGTAGTAAGTAGCTAATACATAATGTGAAATGTTCACTGAATGAAATAAGAAGTATTATCAGAAGAGAATGTTAGGATATATAGAGCCTGAATTTGACTGATGACATGGGTTATGTTAGCTTTGAAGACCACTGTGGTTTGTGGCTTTTTCCTGAAAGAAAATTCAGTCTTCGACACTTCTGGAATGTTCATGTCGCTAAACAGTTCAAAAACAGCTGCAGCTGCATTTCCACCTATTCTCAATACCTAATTTCAATTCAGCCTCCATATTCGCCAGAAATGGCCCCATGTGATTTTTTCCGTTTTTCCATAAATGAAGAAAACCACCTTGAAGGGCCGTCGTTTCACAAACATTGATGACACTTAAGAACCCATCGCTGAAATAGCTAAAAGCTATCCCAAAGATTAACTTTGAGAAATGTTCCGAGTGTTGGAAGAAGCGCTGGCATAATATTCAATGACGACCATTTTGAAGAAAAAAGGTAAATTTCTGTTAGTTTCCGGGCATACCTCATACTCGTAAGAAAGAAGTGAACTCCAAGATCGGAATCTAAAACTTATGTTAACACCCACCGTTGAGTCAACGGAAAAAAATTCGGACGAAGACCCTGAACGCTGACAAACTATCGCAGGTGTCTACTCGACCGACAAGTTGCTTTACCTGCTAACTTTACCGTCTTCAAATAACCCAACTACCTGTACAACTTTTGTTCGTAGAGGTCTTCGTCGATATAGTCCGAGATTTAAGTGAAATTTCTGGTCTGTTACTGATTCGTCACTTATTTTGGGAAAAAGATATTTCAATTTTTGATTCAATCAAAAAACACTCTGGGGAGCTTACCAATCCATCAAAAAGACAGTGAATTGGAAATAACACCGCTTCATTGGTCACTAGATACTGTGTAAGTTGTATACTGGTATAACTGAATGATTTTGCAAAAGCGACCCTAAATTGTAAAACCGCCACGAAATATAAGAAAAAGATGACATGACAGACATACTTCCGACAGTTCCGAAGTATGTTGGTCAAACTGACAGATCTTCTGGATATCAGTTCAAAGAACACACTGTTCCAGAAATGTAGATTTCAGCTAGCTTGATTTGGAGAATAGGAGTGGAATAATGATCAAAACTCCGTGTACATCATTGGGCCTGATTATAAAGTCTCACAAATGCCATATGATAGATTTTAAAAGAGAGACAAAAAACAGAATCATTAGTTAGGTAAATATGAATCCCAGAGAGTTTTTACTTTGCCTGATTAATTAGTCTCGAATTAATTTTAGATAATTGAACAATTGCTGCATAATTGTAATTTTAAATGTGGTTTAATAGGTTTAATTAAAAGAGTTACGTGATTTTACAATCACACAATTTCAGATGCTTTTGAAAGTGTAGAAACGGCAATGTTTTGTAGCAACAAGGGCCCTGTTCCAAACAGTTTGTTTCTTCTATTTTTCAGTAATCAAGTTGAAAACAGAACTATATTCATGATTCAACACCAGGCTACTTGCAACCATGAGAATGACAATCATAATGTCAATAACGCTTGTCATATTGCACAATATTTTGTACATTTTCTTAATTTACTTCCAGACCTCTTTTCTACTATGACTATTTTATAGTCCTGAAGAAGTCCTAATATTAAGACTCGACATATTATAAAAATGCAGTAGGTTTGTTAGTAAATTGAAGCTTCTTTTGACTGAAAAACCAGTAATTCCATTCCTTCCTACCTAATTTCAAGTTGCTTTTCCAGGTGTTTATCCGTTGTGTTTCATTCACCAAGTGTCGACGTTTCGTCTTCATCTCAGATATCATTTTCAAGACTGGTTACTGCTTCTGCTTTGCAGAAGCAGATAATCTCAGATAATTTCAAGATACTCTCAAGGCTCCATTTTTGGTCCTTCTTTATTGATATGGTCAATTTATCTGTGCTACAATCATATTCTGCTTATAGAGTCTAGATCGTAGCTTATATAATTGCCTACCTATAACTAACTATAGGCTACAATTATAGCCTATACTTGACGTTTAAAATAGAAAAAACATGAAACATGGGCATCTCACGGCTCCATTTTTAGTCTTTCTCCATCATTATTGTCACAATTATTTAAAAAAACTTCAACTATGGAACAGAGAAATTCATTTGTTCTTCCGTTACATCTTGGTTATAGAGTCTAGACCGTGACCTATAACTAATTGAAGGCTACAATTATAGACAATAATGACCTATGATTGGCGTTTATAATAGAAAAAAATTGGTTCTTCTGTATTATTATTGTAACATTTTTTTAAAAATTGTCAGCTCTACAACTCTCAACAAAGCAATATATCTGTGCTTCAATCATATCTCTCAAGACTCCATTTTTGGTCCTTTTTTATTATTATTGTCAAAAAACTTCAATTGTTCAACTATCAACAGAGAAATTTATCTGTGCTACAATCATATTTTGCTTATAGAGTCTAGATCGTAGCTTATAATTGCCTACATATAACTCATTATAGGCTACAATTATAGACAATTATAGCCTATAATTGACGTTTAAAACAGAAAAAAATGAAACATGGGCATCTCACGGCTCCATTTGTAGTCTTTCTTCATCATTATTGTCACAACAATTATTTGGAAAAACTTCAACTATGCAACAGAGAAATTCATTTGTTCTTCCGTTACATCTTGGTTATAGAGTCTAGACCGTGACCTTTAACTAATTATAGGCTACAATTATAGACAATAATGACCTATGATTGACGTTTATAATAGAAAAAAAAATTGTAACATTTTTTTGAAAATTTTGAGCTATACAACTCTCAACAAAGAAATATATCTGTGTTTCAATCATATCTTGATTTTAGAGCCTAGAGCATAGCCTATAATTGATGTTTATGATAGAAACATATTTTAGACCGCAACTTATAACCAATTATAGGCTACAATTGTAGACAGTTATGGCCTACGAGTGGTGTTTATAATAGGAATAACGTGAAACGTTGGCGTCTCAAGGCCCCATTTTTGAACCTTTTTTATTATTATTGTCACATTTTTTTTAGTAAACTTCAGCTATACACCTTTCAACAGAGCAATTTATCTGTGCTTCAATTATATCTTTATTGTAGAGCTTATAATTGGTTACATATAACCAATTATATACACTTATAGTCAATTATAACCTGTATTTAAAAATGGTTGCAAAAATGGTTTCCTTTGTAGCTTCTTATAGCTCCTCTATTCAGTATGATGATGATGTTATACAATTCAGAGTACAATAAAATCGCAGACGTTGTTTCGACCTGCCATAGGTCTCATCAGTGGTGCTAGGCTGAATCACAAATGCGAATCTGGTTTTCAGCTAGTTGCCTTGCGGTGAAAGGCAAGAGAACGAATCTCGTAGACGGTCGATGTCGAAACTTGGCTTTGTAACTAACCGCCTCAGGGAGCCTCGCCCATCTTTTGGTATTCGACGATTGAGTTCTCTGGCGATCCCATAGATGGCGTTTTTGAAAGGACAGATATCGCACTTACTTAGTATTTTTTTACTAGGAAATGGTTATATTTTTCCATTGAATGTTAAGTGAATCTTTGTTTTCTTTAGAATATCTTCCATATACAGAGTCTGTTATACTTTTATTGAACGTTTTGATTTCAATTATGGAATTAAAAAACCGTTCACGTGAAGATTTCGACTGTGACTCAGTCATCATCGTAAAACTTGAAGTAAAAAACATTGCATTAGTTCTAGTGTATGGAAAAAGTACCGTTAGAAGAAAGAAAAACATGGGGGATACGTTCAATGAAAACTTCAACTATCAGTGATCTAGTGAAGCCCCGACCCAGACTATAATCTGGTTCACACAAAAGTTGAACTACCTGTACAACTTTTGTTCGAACGGACCTGTGTTCGACATTAGACGTGCTTGAAGGGATCAGGCAAATGAGAATGAGAACGGCCGTAGTTGTCAGAAGAATCGGTTTTGCTCGACGACGTTCAAACAGGGTTTCAGAAGGTTACTATAAGCCTTCGAGAATTATTAGACGACGCTCTGATTGACACGACAATACCTATAAGAGTTTTTGTGTGGACTATTCGGCCCTGGATGAATGTTAGGAATTTTCTTTTGTAGCTCGATTCCGGCTTTCAGGTAATTCACCTGTGAGTAAAGAGATATAAAATCTATTGTTACTACAGAAAAATAGCCACACAAGTTTTGTTGATATAAATAATTTGGGTATTTGTTTAATAAAGATGACAGCTATTGCAAAATTATCATTTTCGCGGTCACGACGACGAAATTATTGGATTACATTGGATTTAGGTTGAAATTGAGCTGCCCAGAATACAAAAATGGTTTCCTTTGTAGCTTCTTATAGCTCCTCTATTCAGTATGATGGCGACAATAAACAATTCAAAGTTTCAAAGTTTTTCAACTGCTTCTTCCACAAAAACTTCTATGCAACGTCAAATGCCAAAATGGTTGCGAACATGTTTTCCTTTGTAGCTTCTTGTAGCTTCTCTATTCAGAATGATGGTGACGATATACAATTCGAAGCACAATAAAATCATGTCAAGGTTTTTCAACTGATTTTTCCATAAAAACCTCAAATGCAAGAATGGTTTCAAAAATGGTTGAAAATGGTTTTCTTTGTAGCTGCTTGTAGCTTCTCTATTCAGTATGATGGTGACGATATACAATTCGAAGCACAATAAAATCATGTCAAGGTTTTTCAACTGATTTTTCCACAAAAACCTCAAATGCAAGAATGGTTTCAAAAATGGTTAAAAATGGTTTTCTTTGTAGCTTCTTGTAGCTCCTCTATTCAGTATGATGGCGACGATATACAATTCAAAGTTTCAAAGTTTTTCAACTGCTTTTTCCACAAAAACTTCTATGCAACGTCGAATGCCAAAATGGTTGCAAAAATGTTTTCCTTTGTAGCTTCTTGTAGCTTTTCTATTCAGTATGATGGTGACGATATACAATTCGTAGCACAATGAAATTTCAAGGTTTTTCAACTGATTTTTCCACAAAAACGTTGATGCAACGTCGAATGCAAAAATGGTTGTAAAAAGGGTTTCCTTTGTGGTTTCCTGTAACTCCTCTATTCAGTATGATGGTGATGATATACAATTTAAAGTACACTAAAATCGTTTCAAGATTTTTCAACTGTTTTTTCCACAAAAATTTCAATGCATCGTCCAATGCAAGATTGGTTTCAAAAATGGTTTCCTTTGTAACTTCTTGTAGCTCTTCTATTCAGTATGATGTTGACGATATGCAATTCGAAGCATAATGTAATCATTTTAAGGTTTTTTAACTCTTTCCACAAAAACGTCAGTGCAATTTCGAATGCAAAAAGGTTGCAAAAATGTTTTTTTTGTAGCTTCTTGTAACTCCTCTATTCAGTACGATGGTGATGATAAACAATTCAAAGTACACTAAAATCGTTTCAAGGTTTTTCAACTGCTTTTTCCACAAAAATGTCGATGCATCGTCCAATGTAAGATTGGTTTAAAAAATGGTTTCCTTTGCAGCTTCTTGTAGCTTCTCTATTCAGTATGATGGTGACGATATACAATTCGAAGCACAATGAAATCATTTCAAGGTTTTTCAACTGCTTTTTTCACAAAAACGTTGATGAAACGTCAAATGCAAAAATGGTTTCCTTTGTAGCTTCTAGTAGCTACTCTATTCAGTACGATGGTGATGATAAACAATTCAAAGTACACTAAAATTGTTTCAAAGTTGTTCAACTGCTTTTTCCACAAAAATGTCGATGCATCGTCCAATGCAAGATTTTTAAAAAATGGTTTCCTTTGTAGCTTCTTGTAGCTTCTCTATTCAGTATGATGGTGACGATATACAATTCGAAGCACAATGAAATCATTTCAAGTTTTTTCAACTGCTTCTTTCACAAAAACGTTGATGAAACGTCAAATGCAAAAATGGTTGCAAGAATGGTTTCCTTTGTAGATTCTTGTAGCTACTCTATTCAGTATGATGGTGATGATATACAATTCAAAGTACACTAAAATCGTTTCAAACGTCCATAAAAAATATTGTTTTAAAACGTCCTCACAAACGGCCCAACGGGCATTTATCTATCCGTAGCTTTATGATATATGCTATGAAGTATCATACAGTGTGACCTATTCAAAGTGAAAGCAGCCTTACAAAACATATATTTTTCAATCTTTAGCCACTGTTGCAATAAACAATCAATAAAACTACATAGTATCCACAAAAATCACTTTCAGGCAATAATACGACCGTTGAACAGGTATGTGAATTATGGATAAATTCAGGAAAGTATGAAAAAAAAAGGAAATAAACATAAATTTTGGCTCTGACTTGAGCAATTAAATGAAAAGTATGTCAATTTCTTCCGTAATGAATTAGACTGAGTATTAACGAAACGAAAGTGTACGGTTTTTACTTTTACAGCTATACTCCTCATTCATAATTGTTCAATTTTGCTGGTAATGAACATATACGGTGGATCAACAACGGTTCCTCCAGGCGAATCACTAAAAAAATAGCACATTGCCCAACATTTTGAGCATATTGCTTCTTGCCTTGTTCAATTGAAAAATAATAAACAGGATGGTCCCCTGTACAATCAAAACGAACCGCAAGGCATAAATTGGTACCAAAAAAATGAAAAAAACACGTCAGAATTGTGAGGAAGAGTTTTGACCCAAATATCATTGAAACATCACTTATTCTTTAATATAGACAGGATCATTCTCTATCATTAGTTGATAGCATTTTGTAGTGAATCCAGCCCACACGTTTAAGTTATAAGGGTTTTGTTTGCCTAC